CGACACCTGAGCCTTCAACGTCAAACCCAAAAACCTGCACCCCTTGGTCTCTAATTTTCAAAAACCCAAAACGCTTTAACTTAAGACCCTAGAACCTAAGACTTGTAATAAACCCTTAACCTCTAAACCCTATTAAGCCCCTAGGCCTTCAACCTAAAACAGCCCCTCCTTCAGCAGCTTATCAACTTCGGCCAGGTTGTCCTCAGGCGCAAAGCTTGAGCTAATGGCCTTAATAATTTAGAGTTCCTGCCATGGGTCTTTTGGAAGGCTGGTACTAATACTATCAGGTTACTATAAATAGGGCTTAGCATAGCGGCTATAATTGTTGGAACAGTGTTCCTGTGGGGTCCTTTCAGGACTGTGATAAGGGCTTCCATAAGGGCTACTGTCAGGGGGTAGTGTAGAGTACAAGGCCAGAACAGTTGGAAGAGGGTTTCGGGGTACGTTAGACCCGTTAGACTGCTTAGACGACAGTCATACGAGGAACCCAACGGAATAGTGCTACCAATGTTCCAAGCGGGGGTTGAGTTCAGGGTAGGGTTTAGGGTTTAGGGTTCAGTTTAGGGTTAGTTCAGGGTTTAGGGTGCATTGGCCCACAAAAGCAACACCCTGCCTCGGAACCAACAAATTCAAGAACAAGCCAAGCGGTGAGTCGTGAGCTCGATGTCCGGACCCCCGGCGTCCTACACCAAGCCATGAACCCTGACCCCTCAACCCAAAGCACGCGAGTTCACGAGTCTGACATGCTAAACACGAAAATCAAAGAACCGCAAACCTCTAGAAACCCTGAAATCCCTACAAACCCTTTACAGCCCAATAGACCTTGAAACCTCTATGAACCATATGGGAGTTTCCAAAAACTGGGAGGGGGGGGACCTTATAATTGGGGCCTTATGATAAAGATCCTACTATTTTGGGGTACTATAGCAGGGTCCCCTATTTTCGGAAACTCCCATATAAGACCTGTAGACAGTGTCAACCCAGGGGCCATGGAATCTTCGTTGCAGTCCCAGTGGCATTGAGAGGCTCTGTGCCGGGATCCAAGGCTTCAAGCCCAGCATTGGGGTCGGGATTGAGGTAGATCTCCTCAAGCTCTAGGTCGAGGGTGTATAGGGCTTACGGCTTTACGGCTTACGGTCTAGGGTTTTAAGGCGTTTTAGGGCTTGGGGGGGGCTGTTCTTAAAGCTTAAGGCTTTGGGGTTGTCGGACTTATTGTTGACTTGTAATCCCCTTTTCTCGTTCTGGAATTCCCTAGGCCTAGGTAGACTTGCCTTGAACAGGGTCTGGTGGTTTTGGTTTAGGGCTTTGAGTCAGATCCCACTTGAAAAGTGAATCCATCCTTTCTACCGCCTCAACTCGAAGCCTCAAACCCCCAATCGCGGAAAGCTCAAATCCAGCTCAACCAACTAAGAAGCCAAACCCTATACCCTAAACACTAAGCCCAAAGACTCTCAATTGGAACTGCAACACTGGCCCCTTTTAACCCCTTCACGAACGAAGGCCCGAAACCAGAATCCCAGACCCGGAATGAACCCTAAACCACCGACAGCCCTAAAGAACCCCTGTGACAATCTTGGAACTACGAACCTTATAAGAACCCTATCATGAAAGAACCATGTAAGATCCCCTATAAGAACCTCATAAGAAAACTGATAGAACCCTAAGTGCAAGAGCCCCCATGCACATCTCACAAGAACCCTCTAAGTACACCTATATTACCTTAAATAACCCAAAACCCTAAACCCTAAACCACAGACCCTAAACCCTGGCAAGCACTAAACCCTAGACTCTAGACCCACTCAAAGGACCCTTTAAAAGAACCCGGTTCATGGGTAGTTATAAGCAGGGTTATAAGCCCCCTAATATGGGTTATAAGTATGGCTACCCTACTTACACCCCCACTTATAACTAGCCATGAACCTCCAAGCACGACCCTAAACCCTAAACCCTTATAGAATCCCTATAGATCCCTTTCAAGCGCCTTCAAGGACCTCTTATAACCCCCTAAACCTTGTAGAACCCTTAAAGGAACCCTTAAAGAAACCCTTAAAGGAACCCTTAAAGGAACCCTCAAAGGAACCCTTAAAGGAACCCTTAAAGGAACCCTTGCATTCCGCCCAGCATCGATCATGTGCGTGAGCGCCTCGACCCGGAAGTCCGGGTCCCGCCGTGCGAAGTTGAGCTCCACTAAAGCATCCTGCTGCTTGCCTCAGGGTGCTCCTTTAAAGGGATCTACAAGGTGCCTCAGGGTGTTCCTTTAAAGGGATCTACAAGGGTTCCATAAAGGGATCCATGATGGGATTTAGGGTTTTGGGGTTTCGGGATTAGGGTTTAGGGTTTAGGGATTTACGGGTTTAGGGGTTGGCGGTTCGGGGTTTAGGGCTGGGGGTTTAGGGGTTGAGGGTTTGGGGTTTAGGGGTTTTCAGTTTCACATGGGGTTTAGGCCAGCACTTCACAGCTCAGGGTTTCAGGTCGGGGCGTTTCCTGTCATACTCGATTCCAGAACAGAACCCTGGTTTAGGGTTTAGGGTTGAAGGCTTAGGGTTTAGGGTAGCAAATCATCGGATATAAGCTTGAAATCACCATTGTCAGTAGATGTGTGTCCATAACAATGGAAATACCACCGGTGCTGCTGAACCCTAGACCCTAAAGCCTAAATGGAGGATCTGGATCTGGCGTTTAGGATGTCGGGCTAGGCGTTTAGGATCTGACTTCAAGTGTTGGGTTTCGGCTTGGGCCTTCAATCAAGGGGGCTGTAATAACTAAACTAGAGTCTAACTAAAGTTCTGGAGACTCTTGTAATATGCGGCCTAAAGGAATAACATGACGATCTAGCCAACTAGTCCGACCTCTATTCTACTTTAACACTTTCGAGATTGTCGATGATTAGGTAGTCGGGTTTCGGATAGTACGGTTTTAAGGGCGTGGATCCTCAGGGTGATTTCACAATCTGTACACCCCGAAAATCACAACAACAGGACGCTACAACCCTAAGCTGTACTAGGGCACCCCAAAGGACATCGGCATGCGCACCTTGCAAGGCTATCACTACCTTATTCCCCAAACCCGCAACACTAAACCTCCGCCCTCCCCTCACCCGCAAGAAAGACAATGAAAACACACCCGAAGCCCCTTCAAGCAGACCATATGTCCTAAACCCTAGTGGAGAAAAAACATTGACAGCACTAGTAACAAATAGTAGGATTCGTCTATCCGGGCCGTGCCCCACACCCCTTCAAACAAACAACACGAAACGAGCCTTACGGCAACTCTTGTACTTACCCATATAATAGCCGCCGAAACCCTAGCACCCAAAGAAAGAACGAGGCCCCTACATCATAAATCCTTACAGTCAGTGACCTTTAGTACAAAGAACCCGGTTAAGGAAGCCCTTCAAGAACCCGGAAACCTGTGTCTAAACCAAAAACCCAAGAACCCTAAACCCCAAAAAAACCCTAAACCCCAACTTTAAACCTTAAACCCCTAAACCCCTGAACCCTAAACCCCTAAACCCCTAACCCCGAAAAAACCCTAAACCCTTACTTTAAACCCTAAATCCCCCAAAGAAACCGAGGCGCTGATCCAGCGGTAGTAGGTGCCGCGGCAGAAGCGCAGACCAGCCTCCCGCTCGGGGGAGCGGATGCAGGCCTCCAGTTGTGGCGGGAAGGCTTTCAGATCGGTTTAGGGTTTAGGGTTTGGGGTTTAGGGTTTAGGGTTTAGGGTTTCGGGTTTAGGGTTTAGGGTTTAGGGTTCAGCAGCTCCGGATCGAGCAGTTCTACAGTAAAGTAGTGTTTACGGTTTAGAAAGAACGCCTACCCACCCTTAGAATCCCATAACATTTGGAAAATAAAAGTGTCACTTCACTCACAGCTTAACACTACTATCACCGAACGTTACACAGCATTAATGTCATTAACTTAAACTCCTACCAACAGCTTGAACCCTAGGCCCCGAAACCCTAAACCCTAGGCCCCTAAACCCTAAACCCTAGGCCCCTAAACCCTAGGCCCCTAAACCCTAGGCCCCTAAACCCTAGGCCCCTAAGACCTAAACCCTAGGCCCCTAAACCCTAAACCCTGGGCCGCTAAACCCTGAACCCTAGGCCAAGGAACCAAGACCCCGAAAAAAAACAAATTGCCACTATCCGACCCCGCAAATCACCAGATTGCGAGGTCACTTAGTGGCAATTTGGTTTTTCTTTCGTGGCATGAGAACCAAGACACGAAAAAAAAACGGAATTGCCACTATCGAGTTAAGGTTTTCATTCCTATGATAAAGAGTGTTTAGGGTTTAGGGGTCGGGTTTAGGGTTTAGGGTTCAGGGGGCTCTTAGGGGTTTGGGTTTTAGGTTTTGAAGTTTCAGATCGGTTTAGAGTTTAGGGTTTCGGGTCTAGGGCCTAGGGTTTAGGGGCGGATTATAAGGGCTCCTTTAAGGGTCCTTTTAAAGGGATATATAGGGATTCTAGTTGCGGCAGGAAGGGTTTCAGGTCTCGGGCCTAGGGTTCAGGGGGCTTTTAGGGGTTTGGGTTTTAGGTGTTTAGGCTTTGGGGTCTTAGGGTTTAGGGTTTAGGGGTCTACGGGCAAAAGGGTTCCTTTAAGGGTCCTGTATAAAGGGATCTATAGGGAATCTATAAGGGTATAAGGTTTAAGGCCTACTTGAAGGCTTAGGGGTAGTTCTAAGTGAGTTATAAGAAGGGTAACTATACTTATCACCCATATTAGGGGACTTATAACCCTGCATAAAACTACCCATGAACCTCCAAGTACTCTAGAGCCTAGGGTTTAGGGGTCTAGGGATTATAAGGGTTCCTTTAAGGGTCCTTTGCAAGGGATCTATAGGGATTCTAGAAGGGTATAAGGTTTAGGGCCTACTTGAAGGTTTACGGGTAGTTATAAGTGGGGTTGTAAGTCCCCGAATAGGGGTTATAGTTGTATAGTTCTCCCATGGCGATCCCGGCGGTCCCTACCTATACACATCTGGGTGGTGTCTTGGATGGAGCGATGAGCATGCGGGATGAAACCCGAAGGCGGCTCTCTATCGCCAAGGGGTCCTTCGATGCTGGGCGTAAGCTGCTCTACCAGAACAAGACCATCTCATTGAAAATCAGGGCCAGTCTGTTTGCTGCCGCCATCCTCCCCTCCTTCTTCAACCTGAGCCTTTGGGAGCCTCAAGGGGAACAGTGGCTGAAGCTCTGTAATGGATACTCGAGCTGCTTCGTCGACTTCTGCAACCTCAGTTTGGCCCCAGCGATGTGCTTTGGGTCCCATTGCCGATTGTCCACTTGATGACCGGGTGCTGGCCATTGGACCTGGAGGCTGTTAAGTCGCGACTGGGGCTCCTTTGCTCCTTGGTCGCGGTCAATCCGGCCCCACTCTGGGCCCTGCTCCAAACGGAACAGACATGGGTGCGAGCGCTACGAGCTGACCTACAGCTTGTGGTCGACCAGGGGGGCACCTGGCCAGCGTTTGCGGAGGAACAATGGCCACGCTGGTGGCACATGATGAAGTACGAGACGGTGGCCTTCAAGCGCATGTTCCGACGCGCGGCCTCTACCCAGCCGCGACTGGATCTCGTTGAAGCCCACTGGTACTGCAGGCCGTGCGGACAGGGCTTCCGCAACAAGGCTGGACTAGAAGTCCATTGTTTCAAACGTCATGGCCGGAAAGCATGCTTCCGAAAGCTCGCAATGGGTTCTATTTGTCGAGCATGTGGGCGTCAATTCTAGGCGCAGGCGAAGCTCTACCTACATCTGAGGGACTCCCCCGGCTGTGTACGAACTCTCCGTCACCACGGATTCGGTGCTGCTACGGCGCCACCTGGACAAGGCAGCAGGGCCTGGCGGAAGAAGGCTGACGAGGAGTTCACTTTGGCGATCCCGCAGCAGGTCTGTGACCCACTGCCGCCATGTCGAGAAGGCAAATGGGACGATGTCCAACTCGCGGCCTACGCGGACCTTTGCAACCTGCTGTTCCAGGACCTGGAATGGAGTTCGAAGACCAGCTTGGTGGACCAGGGGGAGGGAGTGTTGGCGAAGTTCCCGCTCTACAAGGCTGAAGAAGGCGAAGTGTTGCGCTACGTCCTCGACGAGGTCCGGCTGCTGCGCGCAGATGATCCGGACTACCCTTGGTCCCCGGAGGCCTATGACAATCTCATCGACACCTTGGCCCAGATCGATGAAATGCCGACCTTCGTCAGCAAAACGGAGGAGGATGAGGCCAGCGAGGCTATCTCCTACCGGAGATTTGCAGACGTGGTGAGCCAAGAACAGTGGGACAAGATCCACTTAAGGCGTGTGAGTAGTTGTGTGACCCCTGCACAGCCATTTGAACTCCTGGATGCCAGCTGGGAAGCAGAGTTGCTGACATTCAGTGATGACTGTTCATTCTCTGCCACGATTTCCTCGGCGCTGCTTTGTGTGCCGAAACCAGTTCGGGACATGTGGGAGCAGGTCATACAGGGCCGTGTTTCCTCTATATGGGCACCGAGCGGTTTCTGGCAATCGCCATTCGCTGCTCCTTTCAAGCAGCTGAGGGCCGTTCCGCATGCTTAATTAGTGCCGCGTACACCTCTGAAGGCAATGGAAATCCCGGAAATATAGTTATCCTACTTATGACCCCACTTATAACTACCCATGAGCCTGCAAGTAGGGTTTAGGGATGGGTTTGGGGGTCTGGCGTTTGAGGGTTTAGGGTCTGTTTAGGGTTCAGGCTATGGGGTTTGTCTCTTAGGGGCCACCAAGTTTCGTATAGTAGGATTGTATATGAACCCCAAAAGGTGAAAGGATGCCTAAGCCCTCAGGGTTTTCCTTGATGGGTATAGGTATGGGTCAAAGGGGTTCAGGGTGTAGGGGTTTGGGGTTTGGGGGTAAGGGTTTAAGCAGTTAGGGTATAGAGTATAGGAGTTTAGGATTCAATCCTTCTTACACCTTGTCAACGTCTGCAACGCGCCCCCTGCAAAAAGCCTGGTCTGAGAATGCATCTTGGCCGGCAATACCCCAACGAAAGACACTCGAATCAGTCGAAGTTCAAACGGACGGCTGGAGCTTTAATCGATCTCAGAAAAATATTCGTAAATAGGGTCATGAGGGAAAATATAAAATATCCAAAAGGCCTACCTAGCTTGAATCAATCTAAGCCAGCACCTCGCGGACTCAGCTGAAACATGAAACCAGGCTCTGCCCTGGCCCCTGCACGAATTTTTTAAACCCTAAGCCCAAACCCTGACGAAGTCGCCTTCTCAGCTGCCTGAAGATACCTCGGAGAGAACACTTTTTGAGGGTTTAGGGAGTTTTGTGGTTTAGGGTTTTAGGAGATTTGTTGAGGGTCAGGGGGAGCAAGTCTCGGGTTCTTGCCGAACAACGAAGCCCCCTTGTCCCTGAGCCGAACCCTAATCCCAACAACCTACACACTCCCCCGAAATACCTGAAGCTTAAGACTAAGCTTCTACAAACGATCATGAACAGCCACACAGTCACAGAACCCCTACAAAACCCTGCTTCGAAATGCAAGACAAAACCTGTTTCCAAATGACACAAAAAGCCGTGAATTGATGCAACGGAGCGACTTTGGAGCATCGCGCAGGCGCCCGGCACGGCGAAGCAAGAAAATCCTGAGAAAGACTCTCAGGTGTCGTTTGGGTTTAGGATTTTGGGGGTGTCATGGGATTCCTTAGCGCTTCATGGGGCTGCTCAAAGGGCTTCCTCGGTTTCACGCGATTTCAATGGTGTTGAAATGAAAAGTTCAGTTGAATCTTATGGTCTGTTGCTGAGTTTTTCAGATTCCCCAATCGGGCCGTGGACTTGATCATCCCCAGCTACGAACTTTGGATTTCGAGAGACCGGATCCCAGGCGTCAGGGTACTGGAGTCAGAGTGTGGGCTTCGAGCTTCGGGATACGATTTTGGGATATAAGGGCTTGAGGTGCAGGAAGCCTAAACCCTAAAGCCCGAATCCTAGACCACAACGCTGGACCCTCCCCCTAAACCCGAAACCCCGAATCCTTAAACCCTAACCGTGAATCCTGAACCCTAAACCCTAGACCCTAGACCGTAGCCACGAAAGACCCAACTGCTGCACAGGTTCAGCTTGGAGAGGGCTGTGTAGTTGCACGGCTTCTTCTCCAGAAGAGCCTGGCAAAAACACGAGACAACCCAGACCCGCCATTACGGTTTACGGTCTGGGGTTTGGGAGGTCCTAGACACGTACCGTTAGGGGTCCTTTACCCTCTTTGCAGCGTTGGAAAAAAGCATCCTGGAAGAGAACTCAGGGCAACGAAAGGCTCGAAATTCGTTTTTGTAAACCTTCGAGGTATGTGATATCACAACTCGACAGGAGATGCAGGCTTCCAACCCTCCCTGAGCTTTTGAATGCTTGGAACAGGGTTCTTTTTCAGGGCTCATTTGAGGTTTCACAGTGCTTAAGCCCAAAACTCTCGCCCTTAATCCCTACTCTCAAGCTCTACACCCCTAAACCCTTAACCCTACGGCAGTAGGCCTGGTAGTAGAAGGTGGCATCCTTGTACCTTGCAAGCTGCAGGGCTGAAAGTGTAGGGTTTTGGATTTAGGGTTCTAGCCGGGTTTTAAGATTAAGGGCTCATCGTTAGGGTTACCAAATTACTGTGCTCACCGAACCCTGGACTCCACCTAGCTCCTCCCCAAGCAACTCCCACCTTAAAACCTATCCGACTCTCGCGCGCTGTCTTCCTTTTCCCATATCAACAAAAAACAGCATGAGATTTACGACATAGGGTCTGAACATAGGCATAGGATCCATCTGGGTGTAGGAAGGATCCCTTTCAGAGGAGGTTGCGGAAAAGCTTGTCATTGTCTGCGAGATTTGTAGGTCTATGTAGAAACAGAGCTACCCCAATGCAAGACTCCAAGGGTAAAAGGAGGGGCCCTCAATAAGGACCCCTAGGTATATACCCTTAATGTATCTATTATATACCCATTATATAGCCCCATTATGGGGTAGGGGTCCCCATTAAAGGTCCCTCCTTTTCCCCTAAACCCCCTAAACAAACCCTATACCCTTCTAGAATCCCTATAGATCCCTTTAAGGGGTCCCCATTAAGGGTCCCTCCTTTTCCCCTAAACAAACCCTATACCCTTATAGAATCCCTATAGATCCCTTTAAGGGGTCCCCATTAAGGGTCCCTCCTTTTCCCCTTTGAAAGACTAATTGCCAGGCCAAAGAGCAGACCCTCCAGGCATCCACGCAAGCTGCACTTAACAGGTTTAGGGTTTAGGGGTTTAGGGTTTAGGGTTTAGGATTTAGGGTTTAGGGTTTAGGGTTTTAGGGTTTAGGGTTTAGGGTTTAGGGTTTAGGGTTTCAACACAAAACTTCGAGGGTGGAAGGGGTGCGGGGGCGGATGATTCTGGATCTGTTGGTTTAGTGCCTGAGATTCCGAGTTTCGTGTTGTCTTGCAGACAGCTGGCAACAAGACTAGACCTCAACGAGGCTCATAATCGTCATCGTCCTCCCCGCTATCACCCCTTAACTCTCAAACTGTTAACTCCCTGCGTCTATGCACTAAACCGTTTGACTTCCAGACCTGTACGACCCTGTACGACCGTCCAGCTTCTGGTCCTCTAGCATGAACAACGAAGCCCTGTCTCAATAGGGATGTGGGTGCTGAAGCAACAAGGACAAGGACTTTGGAGTGTGGAAAACGGTTATCGAAGGTCAGAAATCTCATCTTCTCAGCTCAAGTCCGTAAACCCGGATATGTGTGGCCCAAGTCGCTCTTGCGCCCCGCCATCACTCCTACCGCCCTGCGCTGCCAGCATCATGTTCCTGGGTGGGCCAGGGCTAATGAAGATCCCAGTGAGCACAGTGGCAGGAACTGGACATATCCCATACATCTATTTACTCCCCCTCCCTCTCTCCGTCTCCCTCCCTCCCTCTCCCTCCCAAGCGAGCGAGCGAGCGAGAGAGAGAGAGAGAGACGGGAAACAAGATGACGAGACGGAAAGACGGAAGCATCGTAAACAGAAAAGCACGTAAGCATCTGTACCCAAGCCGAACTGAGACTCAATCCTGCACCAGTCACAAATTCGTATCGAGGGCTCAAGTGATGTGGAGAATGCTTTCGGGACCAGTTCGAGTTTTGGTTTAGAGTTTAAGCTCAGGCAGGCTTGGGTCGAAGGGTTGAAGCTTCATAATGTAGGAACCTGATTAAGAAAGCTTGGGCTTCTATTAGCGTTCCTTATATGAATCCTACTATTTTGGCGTTATAAGCCCAGGATTTCTTAATCAGGTTCCTACATTAACTAACCACCTGCAGGAATCCGAAAAGCCTTCCCACGACTCAGCACTCCAAGCAAGACTGAAACGATGCCGAATCATGTCGTAACACTACATGCAAGAGTCAAGACACTTGATCTTGTCATTGTAAGCACAGTGATACCAGCACTGATGATAATCCTAGTGCAGCATGTGCGTCAACTCCGCCATCAGCATCGAAGCCTCTTCGTTCGAGGGGTCGACCTGCCGAGGTGTCACATTACTGCAGACCTTACCCGAAAGCCTAAACCCTGCGAGCCCGAAGTACGAACTATGAAGCATACACCCCGAGACCTAACACCTGGGAACCTCAGTCCAAAACTGCCAGCTTTTGCGCAAATCAATATCGATTGGGTTTTATTGGTACTCGGTTTGCAAGCACTGGCTGGGTATTCTCTCTGACCCTCAAGCCTAAACCACAAACCCTAAACATGGCCTTAGCACTGCATACCAAAAGTTCGAAGGACCCGTGTCCGCCCCCGCAGCCGAGAGGCCCGCAGCAATGTCATCAGCTGCTTTTCAGAGACATCTAGCTCGTTCTTGTGCAAGTGGATCCTGGGATTGACTCTTTCACACTTGGAAGAATCGAACCCTAAACCCTAAACCCCCCGACCGTTTCGGATACGGCTTGGGGTTGGAAGTCGAAGCCGGGACGGCTGTCCTTGCGAGGGCGAGGATGCTCTTCTCATGGGCATCGTCGTGGCGCAAGGTCTCCCCGTAGTAGCCTCGTGCTGCCGAGACCCCAAACCCGACCCTAAAGCACAAGACCAGGCCGGAACGAACTTTGCAAACTGCTTTCGCCGAATACAGTGGCCTCAATAGATTACCCATAGTCGTCCTTAGGGTTGCTTATTATAGATATACAGTTATATCCTTAGCTAGGGTTCCTTATTATAATTATAGTATACCTATACTATAAATAGGGGCCCAAGAGCATGGAGCACCCAAGGAAGGGGACTTGGCTACTGGACCTTCTGCGAGCGGCGCAGAGGGTCAGTCCAGGGTGTGTATGTACGCATTCTATTTACGATTTTTGCACATGGGAGTTTCCGAAAATAGGGGTACCTTATGTTGGGGTCCTTTCAATAGGGGTCCTACTACTTAGGGTACCATAATTAGGGTCCCCTATTTCGGAAACTCCCATATTAGTGTTGCTATGATGATCATGGCGGGTCTTGTTCTTGCTAATATTGCTGTCATTGTTTTTGCTAGTTGCGGCGATTAAATTAAGGTATCCCTCCCCAAGACGGAAGCGTAATCAGCGAGGC